GAATCCTCCACCTGTAATAGTGGGTGTCCCAAAAGTTTTAGCTCAGTTATAAGCGGTAGCGTTTTAAAATTGCTAACACTTTTGGAACACTGTGTTATGAGTAAACTTTAAGAGAGGATAAGTAAGAAAAAGTGGATTTTAAGAATGTGGTAGTATGATAGAAATACCTATGTCAGGTAAGTACTGCCTTGTGACATCTCTTCTAATATCTTATAATGGTAAGGTACAATACTACTACAATTACTAATTAACATTTTACATACTACTTTTACTTATTTTACATATTACTTTAAGATTTGCAAAGCAGTTTCTTCTCACAACAATCCTGGGAAGTAGGTGCTATTGTTACCCCCATTTTACAGATAAGGGAACTGAGGTACACAGGGATTAAATGACTTGCCCGGAGTCAAGAAGCTAATGTCTAGGCAGGATATGGATTCAGGTCTTTTTGACTCCATTACTATATACTTGGTACCACTTTAGCTGTCCCCATGGAAACAGCACTGGAGTAGGAGTCAAGAAACCTGATTAGGTGATTGACCTACACAAATCAATTAACCTCTCTGAACCTCAGTTTCCTCATCTGTAAATTGAAGGAGTTAGATTAGATGATTTGTAAATCCCTTCCTACTCTATTACAAAGAGCAGCAAGTAATGGAAATAAAAACAGCATCTTACCAAAATTTGCCAAATGCCTCATTTTAATGGAGATTTTAAAAATGTAAATAGCTTATACTTTAAAGTATGAAAAGTGCTCTCTGCGCATTATTATACTTGAGCCATTATTTTCAAGCAGAACAAAATGACAATGATCCATTACTTTTATTTGCATTATGTAAGTAAAATAAACTGTATTTGTTTACATTATAAAAATGCAGATGGCTAGTTAAATTTAATGTGTTTGGCATTAATCATATGCCTGAGTATGGAATGAGAATGAGGGTCATTTGCTCTAAGGGATCCTTTTGTTACATGAGACATTTACCCTGCTAGAAAGCATTTCATTACCATGGTCAAAATGTGCCTGTCCTCCAGGTCATTGCTGCTACCAACAGTTCTACATACACATACTAAGTTCCCTATGTAGTTTGTGTTTATTGTGTAAGGAGAACACAGGAAAGTCTAACAAGGTCCTGAATATGAAAGGCTAGAAAAAAAGCTTTAAATTATAAAACACTTTTATTTATTTATATTGAAAAACCCCAGGAAGGCTAAAGACTTTGTTTTTAGAACCCTACCCTGGTCAGCTGTTTTTCAGTTGGCAAAGTATCATCATTCCTCCTTTGTGGTACTACGTAGTGTGTGCATTCATTCAGCAACCATCAAGTGCCTTCTGGATACAAAAGACTCTTAGGCATTTCAGAATACACAGTTTAGACAATCAACAGGAATTTATTAAATACCATTGTTCAAGGACCTGTGCTAAGCACTGAAAATACAAAAACAAAAGTTTCTGCCCTCCAGGAGCTTAGTCTATTGGGAGAAGGCATAAGTATGTGTACACATATACATGCATACTTACAAATGCAAATACAAGATACATTTTTGGAAAGAAAGGCCTGGGCAGCTGTGGGAATGAGGAAGCCTTATGCACAAGATGGCACTTGAGTAGAGTTATGAAGAAAACAAGAAATTCTAAGAGGGATAAGTGAGGAAGGATGACCAGAATAAGAGTTCAGGACTGAAGATGGTAAGACAAATTTTTAAAGGATAAAAGTATGAGACGTATTCATACAAGAGCTAACATTTGAGCTGGACTTTGAAGGATGTATAGGAATTCAATATATGAAAAGGGAAGAGGGCAGGATATTTACAGACTTTAGGATTTAGAACCAGAAGGGACCTCATTTAGTCCAATCCCATCATTTTACAGATAAGGAAACTTAAGAACCAGAAAGGGGAAATGACTTGCCAGTAAGCAGCTCAGCTAGAATTAAAATGTAGGTTCTGACCCCAAACCAGTGTTCCAACATGCCACACTTCCTTTCCAGGCATAAGGAACAATACAAAAGCATGGTGATAAGAAACAGGCAAACATTTTCCAGGAACCAAGTAGTCTAGTGGTTCAGAGTTTGCAGAGGGGGATATTTTGAGATAAAAACTGAAAGGGTAAGGAGGTCAAAATGTGAAGGGTCTTGAATACCAGGCAAAGGAGTTTGAACTAAATTTTGCAAGAGGAAGCAGTGTTTAATGAAAAAACATTTAGGGAGTTTGAACTAAATTCTGAAAGAGGAAGCAGTGTTTAATGAAGAAACATTTAGGAACATCAATTCTCTTAGCACAGATGGTCTGGAAGAAAAGCTGGGTTAAGACTTTATGTTGGATAAGTTGGATATATATGGATAAGACCTCTATGAGAGAGAATACAGGTGACTGAAACTAGTTTGAGGAAAGATGGCCAATCCTGGGATTGACATATGGGAGGTATAAATGCAATGAAAAGGGAAGTGGACTTGGAATCAAAGGACCTGGGTTTGAATTCCAACCAGTTACTTACTTCCAAGAAATCTTGTGGAAGTCAGACTTCTCTGGGTCTCAGCTTGCTTATATTTAAAAACAGGGGGCTAGACTAGATGACTTCTAAAGTCCTTGCCAATTATATTTACCCAAGTAATTAAGTCTTGGGTCAAGTGGTTTATAATCCAAATTCACAGGAGCCAGATTTGACAAAGCCAAATAATTAACCGTAATGACTTCTGTGTGGGATGGTGGAGTTAGACTTGCAATCAGACAGACCTGGGTTCATGTCCTTTCTCTAGCCCTGTGACCCTGAGGAGTCACTTTACCTTTTTGTGCCCCAGTAAACTAAGTTTCAGAGCAGGTGCTCTGAAATCAAATATATGTGCATGTAGCTACTACAAGGCACATGAAAGGGGGTAATGTATTTTATGTATTACCACAGCACAGTGTCTCTTTTTTAAAAGGAGAGGCTCACTTACACTTTTAGTGTAAGTTTTAAAGTGGCTGCAGGCCTCCTGTTAGGTGTGTAAGTAGAGGTACATCTAAAGTACCTGAAACAATTGGGGGATTGGAGGAAATAGGAAAAGTTTGAAAAAAGGAAAGCCTAGAAACCTTTGTACTGTATCTTCACAACTCTGTTCTTTTGGAAGGAATAACCTATACCAGTGAAATCACAGCTGGTTAAAAAATCCTTCCTAATTTAGACATAGGGGATGGGAGTGAATTGTGGTACACTTCAGTGGAGGGAGCCAGCAGTGAAATCAAGCACACAAGATAACAAGTATAAACAACTAAAACTCCTAAATAATTACTATTTAAAGGTTTAAATCTGCCCAAACTAGGCTACTATCAGTCTGCATTACCCTTCTTCTTAGCCACTGTTGGGGATATAATACCAAAGTTTTTGAGCTTTTTCTATTCCTTCCAATTTCCCAATTGATTCAGGTACTTTGGATGTACCTCTCCTTACTAGGCAATTAACAGTTATGCCTACAACTTCCAAAACAATGCTCAAAGTTTAAGTGGGCCTCTACTTTTTTGGGAGTGCACTGTGCTGTGGTAACACATAAAATGCATTTCCTCCTCTCCCCCATGGTAACAATATATGTACTCATAAATGGACTGTTATGGGGGGGTTTTCTTGGCAAAGACACTGGAAAGGTTTGCCATTTCCTTCTCCAGCTCATTTTACAGATGAGGAACTGAGGCAAGCAGGGTTAAGTGACTTGCCCAGGGTCACACATAAGAGAAGTCTTCCTGACTCCGGACCTATTGGACTGCAATCTCAATTCTCTGGCTTGTCTTCTGACCTTGGGCTATAGTCCTTAACCTGCCTAAAAAAAGCCAGCAACAAGCCTCACAGAACAAATCATAAAAATCACTTTACAAAATTCTTATTACGTCCAGGGGCTGAGAGCACGGGGACAACTAAAGAAGTCATCGTAACACGAATAAAGTCGAAGCAAATCACTGCCAGCTGCTGCCCCGGCCCACGCAGCTCGGGCTGGGAGCTCCCCAGGGCCGCGCGCTGGCCCCGCTCCCGCGCGTCTTTTCCCTAGGCCCCGTACTCCGGCCACGGGCTGGCCGGCGCTCCGACCCCGTAGCAGTTCGCAAAGAGCAGGAGGCCCCCGGCGGGAATGACCTCAGCTCTGGGAAGAAGAGGGCGCCACCGATCCAGGCCTGGGGAAGGTGCGTGTGCTGTCGGGGAGGAGGGCGGGAGAAGAGGCGGGAAGGCATCGGGGGAGAAGTCCTCCACTTCCACTGCGCCCTGGCCCGCCCTCCCCGCGCTGGGACGCCAGATGTTGGGTCACATCTCCCAGGACCCGGCGCAGGAGCTCACGCCCCCAGCTTCCTAAAGGTGGGGTGGGGGCCTCGGGGCGCGCTCCCCGCCCGCCAGGCCCCTTTCCCAGTGGTGCTCGACTGAGAAGTAGCCGAGGGGGAGGGGCAACGGGAGGGGGAGAGGAGAGGCGGGGGTGGGGAGGCTCCTCGGCCATCGCGGCAGGAGGCCCGTCCCCCTCCCCTCGTCGGAATCTGAGGCACCCTCCCGTTCGCCGAGAGCCGGGGCAAGTTCAAGGGGAGGCGCCAACTCCGGGCAGAACAGGACGCGTCCCGGGCACCCGGGGAAGGTAGGAGAGGCGCGGGGTAGGGACGGGGGTGGGGCGGGCCGGCGTGGAGGCGTATCGGGGCTCCTTTACTGGGGCGGGGGGAGGGGTGCTGCCCCTACCCTCTACCCTTTCCTCGGGCACGTGGGCCCCGGGCCCGGCTCCCGCCGACCTGAGGAGCAGCGGCGGCGGCATCGCACAGAATGATGGGACGCCCCGCCACGACCGCCCCGGCCCCGTGCTCCCCGCCTGCTCCACACTAAAGGCGGGCAGGCAGGCAGGGAATTGTCGCCGCCGGCGTGCGCGAACCCGCTCTTGGCTGGGGGGCGCGCGCGCACGCGCGTCACTGCGGTGCCACTCGCCCTGAAGCTCCAGGGACCGGGATGGGGGCGGGGCGGGGCGGGACGTGGGTGCGGACGCCGGGAATCTCCTTGATCTTCCACCACTACCCCCAGAGGGGCGGGGTCTGAGTTGGTCTGGGACGGGATTGGATTACGGGCTTTCTTAACGTCTAAGAAGAGGGAGATTGACGTGGGATTCCGCCCCTCCCCCGCCTGCTTCCTACCTCCCGGCATGTCCCTATGTTTTCCTTTCGCCAACCTCGAGCTCTGTTCAAGTTCAGGTCAGTGCCTTCGTTACACCCCCACCCCCCGCAACATTTCTCCTCCACACACCTCCCCTCCCCGCATCCCCTCCTTGTTTACACGTCGTCTGCTAAGAACCTGTACCCTCGTGCCATGTTTGCTTTTTGCTCTGCTTTCTAAATAGTTCTTCCTTTGATCCTGGCATCCAGTGACATTAGGGGAATAGTATAAGCAAGCTACGAAAAGCTGATTTGGAACCATACGGGGATAAAACCTAATTTTTTTTTTCAGAGGGAAAAAGGTTGTAAAACGTTTTCTGATATTCTACACAGCCCTGAAAGTGTTGAACTTCAAAGCTGCAAACTTTCCAATGGCTTGTACCTTGCTTGCTGGCCAGTTTTGGGGATGGGTTCAGTAAATGATTGAACTGTGGCTTTTGTTGTTTGCAAAATTTCATTAAAAGTTAGAGTGCTATTCCAGTTGGAGTGGAATTGTTTTGGAATCACATTGTGATGCAAAGCTAGTTAACTAGTAATAGAGAAGTCTTTTTTTCCCTTAAAACTTCAATTTTATTACATTATTACAATTTATTACATATAATTTTACATGTAATATTATAAAAGGTATATTACACGCTTATTACATGTCTTAATTATTCTACTGTCTTTGTAATTGAGCTATCCTTTGTCGAAGCAGAATGATACATGTGAGTCATAATTTAATTTGTTGTATAGAATACCTCTCATATTAGGACAGTGGTACCATGGAGTACCTTTTGCAATCTAGAGCTATTTCTTTACTTTATTCTGAATGGAGTAGAGAATGGTATAGAATGGTGTATGGTAGAATGGTGTAGTTCAGTTCCACTATATATACTACAATGTAGTGTAATATTCTAATACAGAAATTAAGCTTCTTGAGAAGGAATGAAAGTTACACACATGTATCTCTAGTTCTAAAGTCTTGAGTTTCTGCTATGTGATGTCAGTTCTCATGGTTTTGAAGGTGGCAATGCAAGCCCCCTCCAAACATTTGAGAAAACATTTGAAGTAAAAATGTTTTATGAAACATTTGAAGTGAAAACATCTAAAATAATAGTTTAGGCTCAACATCCAAGGAAAAAAAGAAAAAAATTGCACATTAGGAGGAAGATATAGACTGAAGTTACCTGAGCATCATGGGAAATGGTTTTTAAAACTAAATGCCCTGCTCTGTAATTCATGGAAAATGCCCTCATGCTTCAATAATTTTTTCCTGGAGGGGGATGGAAGCTCGGAGAAGGGCTTACCATGCCTACTGTGGCCGCTGTCATAGCTGTCGTCACTGCCATCCAATAGCATGGATTTTCAGGTACTGGAGCTCATGCCAGTTAAGGGTTTAATAATTCAGCTGTGGTTCATACAGTTAATTGGAAAGGACTAGATAACTAGTTAACTAATAGGTAACTACAGAACACCCGTGGCATATTTGAAAAGAAAAAAGAGCGTACTGGATCTGGAGTCCAATGGACCTGGGTTCAGGTCCCAGGCTTTATCACTTAAGACCTGTATGACCTTTGAAAGTCATTTAACCTCCCGTAGACTCAGTTTCCTCATTTGAAAAAAAGAGTGGGTTAGATTGGATTATCTCTGAAGTCTCTTCTGGTTCTAAATCTGCAATCCTGTATAAGTTCTCAGAATAAACAATTGGAAACAAATTGCTGCACTTTAAGTACCAACTTGAATAATGGTAGAAATTATTTCCTTCTCTTAGGTTTCTTTTAAACGTATATTTTGGATATTCCAAAGTCTTAGATGATTGGTGAGGTTTGTATATAAGAGGGAAAAAAGCTTTACTTGATTTGAAATTCAGTAGAGAAAGAACTATCATTAGTTGGTTTGATATGGATGTTTTATTAAAATTTCATTTAATGAGCTCCCTAAGTCTCATCTGTAGATAGAACCAGAGAAGCTATGTACCAAGTCTCATTAAATCCTTAATTAAGGATGCTTAGATTGAAAGGTTTTAATGGAATGAAAAATTTTGGCAATAAATTGTTTTCATCATATCAGGTTTCTCAAGTGTCAAAAAGCTATTAGTCTATAGTAATCAGGTTAGAAGACATGGACCTTTTTGTTTGCATCCTTCAGGAGATCATGGTCTTTTTGTTTTATCTCCTGTGTAAAAGTAAATTAAAATGGCCCCAGAGATATTGTTTAAAAAAAAAACACCAGGTTTTACTGGAGTTTTATGACTACAGATCATAAAATGATCCAGGAAGGGGGAGATTTGACACCAGGAAGGGAGTTAGCAAAGTTGCTGACATCAAGGGTTAGTTTTAGAGGCTGAAAATAGACTGCCATATGAGACTGCCTTCAGAAGAGTAGTTATCTTGCCATTTCTGCAACAGAGATTCAGTTTCCTTCACTGTAAGACTGCCATGATCCTGTTAGCATTCATTAGTCAGAAAGAGCAGGTGTCTAGTTCACACGGCTAAGCCTATGCCATTAATGTGAAAATTTGTGTCCAGGAGATTGAGGGTATAATACTATTTTTCCATGTTAATTCAGTGTTGGAATGTATCTCTAACATGTCTTTAATCTTACTGTTCTGACATGAAGGGTCATCTGAGGAGAAAATCTTGTGGAAGATATTTGATGGTAAAAAGTACTAGTGCTTAGTGTTTGAGAAAGAAGGCTGGGTTATGATTATATTATAACATTGTACACATGTATACACATATGTATATCATACTGAAATACATATATTGTATATTTCAATAATCTAATAAATGTGATCAATGGCTACCATGCATATGGTAGGTGCTCAGTCAATATTTAGTAAATGAATGAATATGTGAATTATTATGCAAAGATCTGTATCATTTGGGAGCTTTACCTTATTAATATTGTAAATTTTAATGCTGCCCTGGCTGAAGTTAGGTGGTAGACTTCTGCCCAGTGGTCAATATTCCCTAAACACAAAGGAGATTTAAAAAAGGAAAGCCCTCCAGACCTGGGGGCACATGGTCCCTGTTGGGGAAATCACAATCTGAGCAGGGTCAGACAGGTTGTATTGTGGACTAAACAATCCCAGCACCCTGGAGAGGTACTGAGATTACATGAAGCCCTTGTTCTACTGTGACTGGCAGGCTAGAAGCCAACTATGCCAGCCTTCCCCAGGGAATAAATCATTGTGCTGCTGCCCTTTGGCATGTCTGAGCCCTGGTATCTGAGTTATCCCATAGGAGCCCCTGCTGTCTCAGAAAGGTATGAGAACCCCTCTCAACCTTGGTGTCTCAGTTATTTCTCTCTTTAAGATTACAATGAGGTAGAGGTGAGCTGGTGTTAACTTATTTCTGGCTGTTTATTGTTTGTGGCTAATGGGATGCATTCTCAGGGAGAGAGAATCATACTGCCCATCTGGCTTCAGGACAATCAGGAGATTCCAAACCCCATTGGACGTTTTGGCAGTGTTCCCTCAGTCAAGTAAAGGATGACTCTTCCTGTTGTTGGTTGGTAACACTTTCCTCAGCCCTCATTTGCTTATCTCAGTTTCCAGAGGATAGGCTCTCCCCAGGAGCTCACTGGGTGTGGAGAGAAAGGAGTTTGAGACTTGCTCAAGGCTACTAGTGGCTTTCCTCCTCGCTTATCACTATCTTGAGCTGTTCTGGAAATCTTGCTGTGTAATAGCTTATGTCTCACGGCCACCTTTGACTTTCTCATCCCACTGGAGGCTGCCAAAGGTTATTAAGTCTGCTTGTCTCACCGTATTCAATATTTTTCTCTTGAACAGAGTGCCCTGTCATAGATTGCCCTTCTTTCTGGAGGGAGTCTTACCTCTTAATAATAAGCCATTGTTGCATTTTTTCCCCGGGTCGTACAATATCTCTGCTCTCCTTATATGTAGAACTCCTCTCCAAGTTCTATACTTTCTGAAAGGACTTGGGAGATTTCAAAGGAGAACCCACATTCTAGGTTCTTTTAGGCTGGTTGAAAGTTTTAACGTTTGGTTGCATATCATCTCATTTTCTTTTAGAGACGGACTAGATCTGTGATTTCATTGGCATAGAGAACTTGAAGATGAAGAAATTCCCTTAATCGATGAGTGGGCACCTTCTGTGCCACTTTATAGTCTTGCAGACTATAAAGCACTGAGATGGTCAGTGATTTGCCCAGGGTCACATAGTCAGAGGCAGGACCTGAGCCTAGATCTTTGTGTCTTCAAGTATCACTCTCTCCACTACAACACCTATTTTATTTTACTTTTTGAATTTGAGGATGGTGTTGCTGATGGCTTTATGTCTATATCAGAAAAGACCATATAATTAACTAGTAGTCTCATTCATACTGTATAAATTGAAGGCAGTGTAGTGTAATACATTTGTGTCAAACTCAAGTAGAAACAGGGGCCATTAAACCATATGTAAGCATCTCTGCAGGCCGCATATTGACTTAGTTTTAAAATTTAACATTATGTTTATTGTATTTTTATTTACTTTATTAAATATTTCCCAATTACATTTTAATCTGGTTTGGCCCTTGCTCAGGAGGGTTGTGGGCAGCCAACTGGCTGTGGTTGACACCTTTGGTATGATAGATAGAGTGCTGGATTTGTAGTGAGGAAAACCTGGGTTCAAAACCTGACTCAATCCACTCATTGCTAACAGGGTGCCCCCGAGTAAGTCACTTAATTCTCTGAGCCTTAGCTCCCTTATCTGCAAAGTGGGCATAATAATAGCATCTCTTCCCACACTTGAAACACAATTTGCCCTAGTGAAGCTGATTTTAAGGCCAGGAAGACCTTGGTTCAAGTCTCACCACTGACCTATAGTGGGTGGGAGAACCTTGGCAAATCATTTAACCTTTTAGTGCTATGCACTAAGCTAAGTACCAGAGATACAAAGGAGAGTAGAAACATGGTTTCAGGGACCTTACCTTATAACCGAGAGGCAACATGCCACCATGTACATATAAGATATATATGGTATGTATGGAAGATAATCTTACAAAGGACTAGCAGTGGCAGAGAATGGGGAATCCTGCATATGGTGGGAGTT